GGGGCCCAGGACCCGGCCGACGGAGACTCCGGTCTGCCCAGACAGCCGTTGCACCCCGCCCACTCTCCCCGGGAACCGCGCTCCGGGCCACAGCCCGGGAGCACGAGCAGAAGCGGGGCAGAGGCGAGGGGGTCGTCACTTTGGGGGGGGAAAGAACACTGTCGGGACAGGGGTGGGGGCAGGAAACAAGGGTAAACAGAACACACTGTCCTGCTTTCTGTGACATCTTTAAATCCCATCTGGTGACTGCAGCGCGACCGACGGCACGGCGCGCCATGCGTAAGAAACACGTGGGCTGTTCAGACTCGGGCTGTGTGCGAGTGACGGGAGGTAAGTGGGAGTGAAGTTTCCAGACTCCACTCACGCTTGTGAAGCAGGCTCAGCATGGTGGGGCTAGTTATACACGTGCACTGTGAAACCACAGCAACCGCCAAGAGAATGACCCGAGGCTTTCATGGGCACACTAAAAAACCAATCATCGATCAATCAGAGATGGAATCTTGCCCTGGCCGGGTGGCTCAGTGGTCGGAGCGTCGTCCTGTACCCCAAAAGGTTGCAGGTTTGGTCCCCGGCTTCGGTGCGTGTAAGAGGCAGCCAATGGGTGTGTGTCTCTCGCATAGATGTTTCTCTCTCTGTCTCCCTCCCTTTCTAAAACAGATCCTTGGGCAAGGGTTAAAAATATATATAATCCTGGCCCTGGCTGGCGTAGCTCAGTGGATTGAGGTCGGGCTGCGAACCAAAGTGTCGCAGGTTCGATTCCCAGTCAGGGCACATGCCTGGGTTGCAGGCCATGACCCCCAGCAACCGCACATTGACATTTCTCTCTCTTTCTCCCCCTCCCTTCCCTCTCTAAAAATAAATAAATAAAATCTTAAAAAAATATATAAAGTCCTAAAACACATTTAAATAACCCACAGGAACATAAGAAACAAAAAACAAACACACAAAAAACCAACCCCAAAATAATGAGACTTACGTCCTAACATGTTAATAATTACTTTATGTTAAATGTAACTGGTCTAAACACACAAGTTAATCGACAGAGATGAGCAGGGCAGAGAAAGAAAGCACAATGTGACAATATACCATCTGTGAGAAACTCAGTTCAGCCCTGGCTGGTGCGGCTCAGTGCATTCGTTGAGCACAGGCTGTGAACCAAAGGGTCGCCTGTTCGATTCCCAGATCAGGGCACATGCCTGGGTTGTGGGCCAGGTCTCCAGTGGGGGGCATGTGAGAGGCAACCACACACAAATATTAAAAAAGAGCCCTGGCAGGCGTAGCTCAGTGGATTGAGCACGGGCTGGGAACCAAAGTGTCGCAGGTTCGATTCCCAGTCAGGGCACATGCCTGGGTTGCAGGCCACGGCCCCCAGCAACCGCACATTGATGTTTCTCTCTCTCTCTCTCTCTCTCTCTCTCTCTCTCTCGCTCTTTCTCCCTCCCCTCTCTAAAAATAAATAAATAAAATATTTAAAAAAAGAAAAGAAACTCAGTTCACACAACAACACGGGTCGTGGGTTGAAAGTAAAAGGGCGGAAAACGTATACCATGGGGGCATTTGGAACAAGCCAAAGAGGCGACGTTGGGATAGACAAACTTCGGAGCAGAGAAAATGACCAGAGACACAGGGGGACAGAATGACGAAAGGATCACGCGCCCAGGAAGACAGTCCTAAGTGTTTACACACCACACGGCAGAGTCTCCGACTGCTTGAGGCAAACACTGACTGAGCGCGGCCCAACCGGACGGACAAACGCGAGGTCACCCGGCTGACCCCGGAACAAACAGGGCGGGGCTGCGGGTTTGTCCAACACGCACTGCAAGTGCGTGAGTTTCTTCAGGCTTACTTCTCCCCAGCTTCCTTTAGGGTAAGAATACACTACGTAACACATAGGGCCCTCAAAACAGGTGCTAGTTGCCTGCCTGGTACCGGTAAGGCTTCGGTCAGCAGGAGGCTATGGGTGGCTAAGCTCCGGAAGACTTGCACGTTTCTGACTGGGAGGGTCAGCGCCCCAAACCCTTGCGTTATTCGAGGCTCAGCGGGAGACTTCAGCAGCTCCCGCTCTGAGCGGACAGAGCCACTGAACCAGCAAGGGGACAGAGAGCGCAGCACCGCCGCCCACCAGCAGGACCTGAACCCACAGAGCACTTCCCCAGATAACAGACGTCTTTCCAGGTTTCCACGGAACATTCACCGACACAGGCCCACGAAATACACACCAAGACGTACCATATCCCGCTCACAGAAGGTCTGTTCACACTAGGCAGGTCGGGGAGAGCACCCTCTGCCCCCGCCGGGTCACCATCACACGTGCCCCGTGGGAGGTCCACACCAGGGATGCTCTTCAGCAGGCGAGACGCACGAACCACTGATCCCCGGTCCACGACACAACCCGGGCGCCTCCCCAGGGGGTCCCTCGGGGCGACTGAGGAGCCAATTCCAAAAGGCCACGTTTCGCATGATTTCACTTGTATAATATCCCTGAAGTGACAAGATGGTACAGTTGGATAAGACAGCAGTCACTGTCAGGGTGGGGAGTGGCTATGGAAGGCAACCCCAGGCATCCTATGGGGATGGAATGTTCTGTATGCTTCCCAGCGTCAATATCCGGGCTGTCACACTGCACTACCGTTTTGCAAGACACTACCGTGGAGGGTGACCGGGCAGAAGGGACGTGGGGTTTCTATACGGTTGCTCACAACTGCCTGGGACAATGATTATCTCAAAAATAAAAGTTTAATAATAATAATAAAAAAAAAAGACTAGGTCCGGTTCCCAGCTCTGCCACCTGCTAATTAGGTAGCTAGTCTTGGGTAGATTTTAAACTGTCTACCTTCAGTTTCCTTATCGGCCAAACGGGACAAAACTACCCAACATGTGATGAGAATTACACGTCACGCGTGGGAAGGGCCGGCGGTGAGTGTGGCTCAGAACCAGCGCTTTACAAACAGCCCGTTAACACCAAGTGCGTGTTAGACACAAGTGCTCCTCTGAAGAGCAGCATCCAATCGCGCCCTACTGGAGCCGAGACAAAGCACACACACTAACACGGCTCTTCCCAAAGTGACCCGTCCGAACGGGAGTGGGGGAGGGCGACTTCTGGTTCCAGGGAAAGCAGGACTTCTCATGAGGAACTGGAGTAGCCACAGCAGACGGAGTGAGTTGAATACGGAACTACAGTCAGTGAAAAGGTTGGGGGGAAAATGGTATTGGTTGAAACATCTTGCTCTGTTGATGAGGAAGTCTGTAAAAGTGAATGTTTATACGCACCAGGAAAAACTTAAGGCTGAGTTTTCTAAAACGCACTTAGACGCTGACTTTGATTTAAGATTCTGTTTCAAAATATTTCCTCTGCCTCTTGAGTTGAAAGGAACTAGGAGACGGCCGGCCAAATCACTGTGCTCTTCTACCTGCCTGGTCTGCAGGCCACAAAAGCTGCAGAAGTAGAATCTGGCCCGGCGACTGGGAAAGACAATCACATGCACTTTACCCCAGAAGACGAGGGGAATTTCAAACACACAGCCGATCCCCTGAATCACCCTGGGCACCTCGCCTTGAAAGCTGAAGGACTGGGCCGGAGCTCTGACTCACAGGCTTTTGAAAGAGGTGAAAAGGATGGGGGGGGGGTGGTTATCACTCAAATCATCTGCTTCCCGTCCTGATCCTAACAGGGCCATTTCTATCCCCACGAAATCATTCAGTAACAGGCGGGCAGGGTGGGAATGCCGGGGCGGGAGTCCCGGTGCCAGCCTGCCAGTGTGGGGCCCGGGGTCCCAGCACCCAGGGTCCCAGCACCCCGGGCCCGCCAAGGAGCCACTTCGTCTCCGGGGCCGGAAGCTTCCTCGTGGGTGAAGGAAGGAAAATGTTCCAGATGGCTTCTCCGCCCCCTGCTAAATTTAAAGTCCCTCGGGCACTGCAAAATCTAGTCTCCAGGCAGCTTTGAGGCGGGGCCAGCCTCCCTCCACCTCTGCCTGGAGACAACGGCCCTCCTACCTGGACCGTGGCTCCCACAGCAGGGCCCTGGGAGAGGGCGGGCGGGGGGTCAGGGGCGGGGGAGACACGGGGGTCCTAACAGGGGAATGACCGCATCCGGGTGCAGGAGCCCACCTCGCGTCCTCATCCGTCTCCAGGCTCCCGGAGAGAAACTGGCGCCCAGACTGTCAACTCCACAGCCCCCCCCCCGCCCCAATAAATGGTAGAGAATGGAAACGGGGCAAGATGCAGAGGGAGCGCCCGGAGCCCGCACAGCACTGGGGACACGTGACCGTGCAACAGGCGAAACCGGGACGCCCCCCCCCCCCCCCGGAGGCTGGACGACACTGAAGGGTCGCGCACCTCTGGGTCCGACCCGGACGCCGGGCCGCGTCCCGAGCCGGAGGCCTCCTGCCCCCGCGCCGCACGCGAGGACACCGTCCAGGGGGCTGCGCGGGGGGCCCAGGTGGAGGGGCGGGCGATGACGGTCACGGTCACGATCGCGCAGGGAGGGTGGACGCCGACGGGGGCCGCGGGCACGTCCCGCTCGCCCCGCCGCTCCCGGCTCGGACTCCCCGGATAAACAGTTGGGAAGGAGGGCCCGCGGCCAGCTTCCTGCCCGGTGCACGGCGCGCTGCTGAGCTCGCCGGGCCGGGCGGGCCGGGCCGGGCGGCTCCCCGGCTGCCCACGGGACCGCGCGGACGCCAGCGCGCAGGGGCGCGTCCCGGGCCGGAGTCCGGGGCCCGGCCCGCCCCCGAGGCCCTCGCCTCCCCATCCCCGGGCGCGGGCCGGCTTCCCCACTCCCACCGCCCCGAGCCCCCGAGCAGGGCGGCAGCGACCGCCGTCCGGCCGGCGGGGTGCGCACCCTCGGCCGGCCCCCCCCCGTCCGAGGCCGGGGGTACGGGGGCCGCGGGGGGCCGCCCCAGACCGGGGCGCGCCGGCCGGGACACACCGCCAGGGGGCGGGCCGCGGCCCCCGCCCCGCCCGGGCGCGCCGGGGCGCAGGTGAGCCGGCGGGGGCGCACGCACCTTGAGGATGTTGTCGAAGATGGTGTCGCGGAACTCGAGCAGCGCCTTCTGGTCGAACTCGCGGCCGTGGATGATGCGCATCTGCTTGAGGAAGGTGGACTTGCCGCTCTCGCCCGCGCCCAGCAGCAGGATCTTGACGAGGCGCCGCACGGCGCGCCGCTCGCGGGCCAGCCCCGCGTCGATGTCCCGGCTGCGCCGCCGCGCCTCGCGCTCCGCGTCGCGGGCCCCGCCGCCGCCCGCTCTGCGCTCGCGGGCCCCGCCGGCCTCCGCCGGCAGCAGGCAGCGGCTGAGGGTCCGCACCACGCCGGACATGGCCGCTCAGGCCATGGACCCCGCCGCGGGCGAGGCGAGCCCCGCGCGGCAGCCGGCCGCTCCCTCAGGCCGCGTCCGCCGCCGCCGCCCGGAGGCCCGCTCTCGCCCGCCGCCTGGCCCGGGCGGAGGGGCGGTGCGACGCGGATCCGGGCCCGGGGATTGGTCCGTCTGCCGCCCCTACGGCCAAACGCGCCCTCTGATTTGTCCGTACCACGCCGAAAGGCTGGCGTCCCTCTGGCTTTTGGGGCGGGGTCGAAGCCGAAAGAGGACGGATCTTTAGGGTGGAGGCGCTTCTCATTGGACAGCTGGGCCGGGGTTCTTTCTTTCAGAATGAAAGGGAGGCGGGGCCATTCGGAGGCGGAACAGCCGTCTGCCATGGGCAATCATAATTGGTCTGTCCTCACGTCAATCTAAGCGAAGGGGCCTCGGATTGGAGCTTTTGCGAAACGGGGCGGGACCCAAAGTGCCAGGTGTACAGAACTTCGCCCTGAGTTCTCAGATTGGATCAACCTGTGAGACCTGGAAGTTTGCTGACTGCGCTCGGCGCTTCTCGAAAGCTGGGCAATGCCGAGGAGAAGTCCGCTTGTTTTGTGTTTAGAAAGACAGCTGTTCCTAAACCGTTTTATTTCCAGGAGCACCGAAGGGGGATGGGCCATTCATCTCAGACAAATGCACCCTTTGAGAGCGTCACGCGCCTCTGGGCTGCCTTCCTCAAAGCTGGCTAACCCCCCGAATCACCCAAGTCCCCCCTAAGCCCTCTGTAGCGCAGTTATCTAGAGTGTAGTCTGGAGCTGCTGGTTCCGAGAGCTGGGACCTGCGCTCCACCCCTCCTTACTCATTGACTAAATGACCTCCTGAGCCGCGCCTCCTCCTCCCCCACTCGCCTTTACCTTGTTTCGCTCGTCCGCAAAATGGAGACGATGACAGCAACTACCTCCCATGGCCGTGAGGCTATAAACTGGATGACCTTGTAAAACCCTTGGTCGGGTGCCTGGACCCGAGGAAGTTCCTGCTACGTGTTGGCTGATTTTTATCACAGTGTTAGTGTGAGTCAGAAGCTCCTGAAAGCAGCTCGGGTATCTCTTCATCTCCAGGTGGCTGGCCAGAGGTGGGAACCATGGTCTGTTAAAAACAAACTGAGCCATATTAAGAATTTTAAGAGTTTGAGCAAAAATCGATTCCAGTCGTGCAGTGGGAGCACCCCCCCCCCCCGCCCCATCCCCAGCCCTCAGCCAGGGCACAGACTTCATGGAGAAAGCGCAGAAGCAAAGAAAGGAAATTATTTGATTGGCTACAGCTTGACTACTATTTGGTTGTTTGTGACTGGTTTTGATTTTGCGGTCTTGAGCCTTTACAGCAGCGGTGTCAAACTCATTTTCACCGGGGGCCACACCGGCCTCGTGGTTGCCCTCAAAGGGCCGAATGAAGAGCTCCTCGCCCCTAGTTAAGGAGCAGTGACATTTACCCAGCCCTAAAATTACATCTGGCCCTTGGAAGGCAACGGCGAGGCTGATGTGGGCCCCGGTGACAATGAGTTTGACACCCCTGCCTTATGGGGTTCGATTCCGTTTTTCTTGCACAGGCCACTTCAGTCTAGGGGTCGCCTTGTTGAGTTAATTCAACAGGTCTCAAAGGCCACCCTGTCCAGGCCCTCCTTCTCACCACGGGCAGGGGGATAAAATAAAGACCAGCCACACACGACTTCCCCGAGGCCGGGCAGCCCCCTGCCCTCTCCCTCTTCGCCTCTCACTGCGGGGCGGGAACTGCACTGGAACACGTTAGCAAACGGGATCCCATCCAGTTCTACAGACAGTTTTCTTGCACAGTCAGGGAACTGCCGGGCACTGAGGACTTCCGGAGAGGACTCTGAAGATGGGAAATGGCAGCCTCTGTGTCAGGACACTTACACGCTGGCCAGGGAGCCGAGGGCTCAGGACACCGGGTGAGAGCAGGTGAACGCCTCCTTCATCCGCCTGCCTGCGGTCTTCAGGGAGTTCGCTCAGAGACCGGGACTCCCTGAGGCCCCACATGCCCGAGACGTGGCATTTGTCAATTTGCTGAGGCACCAACTAGTGTCACTTACGATTCAGCACATTATCTAGTTCGTCCTTCAAAATGGTGTAAAGAGGTTGCATCTGCGAAAATAGTGTCCCCCCCCCCAAAAGCCAGACACTGGTTTTATGGTAGAAGTGAAGAAAGAGTGCAGAGGGCCCTCAGGAAGCAATGTGTCTTAGAACAAAAGTAGGTTTTGAACAAATAAGAAAGGGACGGTGGACAGCAATGGGTCAGAGTTGGCCCCTCGTGCAGGTAGGAGAAGTAAAGGTGACTCAGAAAACACTTCAAGCAGAGGTGAAAAGGAACCAGGTGATACATCTGAAAGGGAAAACTGTAAAACTTGAAACAGAATCCTAACAGACACATTAAATTGCAGATTCAGACACAGAGGAAGAGAATAAACTGAAACATAGATCTGAAAAAATGACCTAGAATCCTCCAAAGACAGGGAGGACCAGAGACAGGAAAGGCAGAGGAAGAACCTCTACTACGTGTTTAACCAGAGCTCTGGAAGGGGACATAGCGAATGGAGAAGAGGCAATGTTGGAAGGGATAATGGCTGAGAATTTTAAACTGACAAATGACACAAAATGCGGAGCTGGGTGAATGCAAGAAATACGGGCTGGGGTACACTGCAGTGAGCCTGAAGGGCACCCAAGACAAACAGAAGATTTTCAAAGCAGCCAGAGGGGAAATAGTAACGGTTACTGTGTACACCGTAGCTCCCAGGTGCAGGGCCCAGTGGGCAGCACGCTGCACACGCCAACTCACGAAACCCTCGCAGGAGCCCCACAGACCCAGAGCCGGAGTCTCAGTGACGAAAGTGGAGGCCGGATGGGAAGTCATATCTTAGGAGCACGGAGAGAAAAGAACCATTAAGGAAGAATTATAAACCCTGCAAACATATCTTTCAAAAAGGTGGCGAAAACAAGGACATTTCAGACAGATACAAACAGATTATTTTATATATATTGTGTTATGGGCTGAATCCATATGTTGAGGCCCTAACCCCCAGGACCCCAGAATGTCCCTGTGTTTGGAGATCGGACTTCAAAGATGTGATTAAGTTACAGCGAGGTCTCCAGGGCAGGCCCGGGTCCAGCAGGACTGATGTCCTCATGAGGAAAGGAAATGTGGACACAGACAGGGACAGCAGGTAGACCACGGGAAGACACAGGGAGAAGACAGCCATCTGCAAGCCTAAGGGAGAGGCCACAGGAGACACTGACCCTGCCAACACCCTGACCTTGGACTTTTAGCCCTTAGAACTGTGGGAAAGCAAGTTCCTGTTGTTGCATCACCCTGTCTGCGGTCCTTGGTGAGGTCAGCCCCAGCGATGGAGCGCAGCAGGCTCCAGGGAGGAGGACGAGAATCTCAGAAGGAAGGACTGTCACACGGAAAAGGAATGGTGGACACTTTGCGGACATAGAGTAGCTCTTATCATTGACTGTATCAGACAATAATAACGTGAACTTGTGGTGTTAAGAAAAAAATAGAACTAAAAGCAGTGGACACAACAGGCATGTGTCAGGAAGTGTTTTGATCAAAGTGTTCTAAGATTTTTGAACTGAGAGGAGGATAAATTTTTTTTTAATATTTGCGTCTTTTTTTAAGATTGTATTTTATTCATTTTTTTTTTTTAGAGAGGGAAGGGGGATGGAGAGAGAGAGAGAGAGGGAAACATCAATGTGCGGTTGCTGGGGGTAATGGCCTGCAACCCAGGCATGTACCCTGACTGGGATTCGAACCTGCGACACTGAGGATAAATGTTTTGATTAATGTTAAATGTCGTTGAGTTACATAGTCATGTTAAAATGTTTAGGGAAAACACAAAATGAAGAGGAGCAGAGTGTGTGATTTCCACACAGGCGGAGAGGAAAGATGGAACGAGGGAACAGAAACCAATCAATACAAAAGAAGGCAAAAAATAAAGAACACAGAAACATAAGAATAAAAACAGAACTTGAACAAAATGAAAAGGTGGGAATAAACTCAAATGTAAGATTCACCAAGTTAAATACACATGGCCTGAAATGGTGAAAAGATAAAGATGGTCCAACTGGATGAAACAAAAATGAGTTTCCCCACATGCTCCTAAAGGACACACCTAATGAACCGCAGAAGATCAAAGTGAAAGAAAGAATGGAGACAGATGCACCGGGCAAACAGCCACCAAGGGAAGTCTGGCAAGGCTGCGGGACGAGGGGACAGAGCAGATTCGGAGTCTGAGTCTGACTGGCGGCGGAGCGGCTCGTGCAGGGGAAGGCCCGGCTCGCTGGTGAGCAGTGACAGGCCTGAGCTTGCACGCGGCTGATGGCAGAGAGGCCTCAAACATTCAAGGCAAAGAAGTCCACGAACCCCAGGCAGCAGCTGGGGAGCCCCCCACCGCCCGGGTTGAGGGTGTGGGCGGAACACACTCCTTCTCGGGCAGCGATGAACAAGTGGGACCCATGCAGCGTCCACTGTGCGGGAAGCTCAGTGACGGGAGGAGACACATTCCACTCGAATCCGAGGAACGTTTGAGAACTTGACCCCATCCTAGGCCCCAAAGCGAGTTGCAGCGCATCGGAAAGGATGGAAGTCATACAAGCCACATTCTCTGACCACATTGCAATTATATCTGATATCCTGGCCACAAATACATCTTCTGAAAAGTCCAAGGCTATAGAAAATAAAATATACCTTCTGAGCAAATATTCAGCTGGTGAAACTTGGCTGGCACCCCGTCCTAGTAGGGATTCCGGGGTCATCGGTCACTGTGCTGTAACCCTCATGTTACCACCTTGGGAGCCAAGCAGCCAGACAGGCCAGAGCCGGGGCTGGGGCAGTCTGCTTCCCAGCCCCGGCTCCGCCCTCTGCCGGCCGCGTGACCCCGGGCCCATGGTGCGGTCTCACGGAGCCTCGCTTTCCCTCATCTGGGAAGTGGGGATAACAAAGGGGCTGCAACAGCAGGACGAGGCTGGAACCAGCAGCAACGGAAGGAGGGGATGTGTGTGACGCCCCAGGAGAAAGGGCACGGAGCGAGGTCCCCACACGTGCTCACAGTTCCTCTTAGCATCTGCACGCGGCAGTCGGAAAAGCTGACACTTTGTGAGGCAGATGGACACTTTGGCCCACGGCCACACCGAAGGCGGGGCCAAACCCCAGGTTGAATCCGAGCTTTCAGCCTCACGGGGCACCCAGCACTGCCCAGACAGTGTCACCAGCCCCCCACCCCCCACCCCCGCCCAGCGCGGCCCTTTTGAGTAACTGAGAATGGGGTCACCATTCCTTCTTCCTCCTGCCTCCCCACAAGCCCGGCCACTCAGGAGAGCTTGGCTCCCCCCGGCTCCCCGGGGAAAAGGTTGCTGTCCCCTCAGCCCAGACCAGACCCAGGTCCCAGGATCTCCTCCCCTGGCGCCCCGCCCCTTCCTTCCCAGGCGTCGGTCACATTTAAACTCCTTGTGTGATTGTGTGTCGAATGTCCGCCTGTCTTCCCCACTGTGGACGTGAGGCGGGGTCTGTGTCCGTCTGAGCAGGGCTGGAGCCCCTGTGCCTGCGGGAACACAGTAGGACTGCAGTCACTGTGTGCTGGGCAGACAGGGGTGGGGAGGGATCGAGGGAAGGACAATGAAAGAATGGATAGGTGGTCGCATGGGTGGTGGATGGATGGGTGGGTGGGTGCCTGATGGATGGATGATGGATGGATAAATGGATGGATGGGTAGATGGGTGGGCCGGTGCCCGATGGATGGATGATGGATGGATAAATGGATGGGTAGATGGATAGATGGGTGGGTGGGTGGGAGGATGGGTAGGTGCATGATGGATGGATGATGGATGAATGGGTGGCTAGATAGATGGGTGGGTGGGAGGGTGGGTGGCAGGCACAGTCCCCGGGGACATTGAGAACACTGCAGTGGGCCCCCTCTTTGGAGGAACTTTGTCTCTGCTCTTGAAAGTGGACAAGGGGTCCTCCAGGTGCTGCCAGGCATGGTTTAGACGAGACGGTTGGCCGTCTTGCTGGCTAACTGCCTCCCCAAAGTCAGCATGTTTTTAGGGAAGAGTTGGCCGTGGGAACCCAGACCTTGTCCTGAGCCACTTCCCTATCTGCTCTTGGTTCCACTTACTTGTTCCCCAAGCCCCGGAGGGAGAACCTTTTGGGGAACTGTCAGCAATTCTTTCTTTTCATTCTTAAAGCTTTTGCTGGAGAGGGGGAGGGCGGGAGAAGGAGAGGGAGGGGAGGGAAACATCAGTGAGGGAGAAGCATTGATCAGTTACCTCTCCTGTATGCCCCAGCTGGGGACTGAACCCGCAACCCAGGCACGGCGGGGGGCGCCGCCTTCATTCCTGCTGTGAGTCTGTCTCTGGCCCTGCCCTTGGCCTTCCTGCCCCTCTGCTGCTGTCTGGAAATCCTGCCTAACTTCCTGCAGGTTTCCCCGTGGGGAGCAGTGCCCTCCTTGCTCCCTTGCCCCTGAAATGGGCAGACCCGTGGCTGACGGTGGCCCTCCCCTGCTCTCTGGGGCCCCTGGCCTGGTGGCCTGGGCAGACGGAGGCTCTCAGGGGACACTGTTGGGCCTCCCTGGGCAGTGGGCTCAGAGCCTGCCTCTTGGGAACAGACGAGGGCGGGGTAGCCTGCCGGGGTCGGAGACCCTGGGGGTGACCGTGGGAAGCAAGGAGCCGTGCCAGGAGCAGCTGTGTGAGTTGTGGGGCCCAGTGCCGCACGAAAATGCAGGTCCCTTGTCCAGAAGGTGTTGAGAATTTCAGATGGCAGCGCAGCGTGCCGCCAGTCGAGGGGTGCTCCTGGTCTTGCGTCTGCTGCTGAGACCTCGGGCAAGGGTTGTCTGTGGCCAAGAGTGAGTCTGGGAGGCCGCAGGGGCAATGACCAGCCCCGGCAGCCTGGGTGCTGGGCAGGGCGCCGCTCGCTCCAGGCCTGGGGTGGGGGTGGGGGCGCGTTGAACGAGCGAGCAAGCACGGCTGTTGCTGAACCTCTGGCCTCTCCGGGAATGTGCCGGAAACGGTCGGGTTTTCCCTGGTGATTCACTGCCTGCGGCCTCGCTCCTTCCCGTCGCCACTTCCTGTCCCTTCCCCGGGCTCCGGCGGTTCTCTCCTTCCCCCGGCAATAAAAAGGCTGGTGCGGTCGAATCTGAAACTTCCACCGCAAATCCAATTTCATGCTCACTGTTCCCCCTCCTGCCGAGCATCCCGGCCTTGTCTGGAGGGCCCAGGACGGGGTGGGGACCAGCTATCTCCTCCTTCCTCTTCCCCCCTCCATGCGCCCCCCCCCCCGCCGGGCGCCTGGGTAGGGAGGGAGAGTGAAAACCCCACACCAAGAGTCTCTTACATTCTGCACTGCCTGCCAGCACCCCCCCCCCCCGACTTCTCCTCTGCCTCCTTGGTGGTCTCCAGCTTGTATGGATGGGGAGCCGGCGGGTAGCATCTTGGCCACCTCTTTCCCTTACTGCTGCTGGCTGGGGACACCTGATACTCCCCAGACTCCGGCTTGCAGCCCAGACACAACTCTGGGGCTCCGGGAAGACGAGATTCAGTGAGACGCCCGGAGCTCGTGGGGCAGCCAGACCACAGACGGCGCTGGACTGGCCTCGGGGGACGACAGCACTGACAATCGCCGCTGATGGCGGCCCAGTCTTTCCCGCGCGTGCGCGGAGCACTGCACCGCGTTGAAGGTCTGGAGTCTGGCCGGTAGGGGGCGTGTGTTATCGTGAGTCCTCGTTTCCGCTGGCCGGGAGGCCGAGGCTGAGAAGGTCAGGCACTGGGCCCCAGGCCACAAGACCGGGACGTCACCGAGTCAGGGCTGGACACGCGCTCTTCCCAGCCCCCAGTCCTGTGCTCGCAGCATTCCGCTGTCTGACCTTCTGTGAGAGTCCCTACCAGGTCCGCAAACGACGGATGGGGGAGGGGGGGCGCGGAATCTGCCTGTGGGAAATCAGGGAAGACTTCATGGAGGAGGTGGCCTTTGAGTGTTGTTACCAAGAGCAAGTGGGGTCTGTCATGGGGACGAGGCGAGAAGGGCCTGCAGCTAGAGAGAACAGCGTGGGCAAATGCCCTGAGGCCTGGGGGGCCCCCAGGGATCAGGACTTTCGGGGTGCTCTGTGAGGCTGGGGTGCAGGGCCCACGTCAAGGTGCATGCCAGGAGATGAGGCCGAGGCGGGGCTCACTGAAGGCCCTGTGGAAGATTTTGGGCTCCACTCCTGAACTTGGAGAAGCCTCACTGCGCTTAACACTGTGGGAACGTCTCACTGCTCACCTGCCGGTCATCGCCGCCCTGTTACGGCTCGAGCTCCGGGAGCCCAGGCACCCGGCCCTTCTGTCACCTCTCTGGCCCTAAGTCCAGGACGGTGGGTGCTTGGTGCACATTCGGGGGAAATGAAAGAAAGAAAGAATGAATGAATGAGCAAACACCTGCCTGGCAGGTGTGGTCCCTGTGGCTATCCCTCGCTGCCCCTGTCCTGAGGTCCTCAGGCACGTGCTGAGCCGCTGCCAGGCTCCGGGGGTGGCGGTGGGGTCCTGCCGGGGGTGTCCTTGGCATCCCAGATAGCACGGCTTGAAATTCCCTCCCGCAACCACCAGGTGTCGCTGGTGCCCCACAAGAAAACCCAGCGGGGGCATCTGCTGGGGTTGGGGAGGCCCCCGGGATGCAGGAAACCTCATCTGTGAGCCACAGATGAGCTCTCCAGGCTGCCATGTGTCCTCGTCAGCGCCTGGGCTTCCTCCTCCAGAACCGGACAGGTGTGACCGGCCTCACACCTCCCCCTGGACGCCCCTGCCCCTGCCCCGGCTATCAGCAGCCTGGGAAGAGGGACAGGCCGGGGGGGGGCCAGACCTGGGAGGCCTGTGGCCACCCCTTCCGCCCACCGGCCTTGGCCCTGGCCGGGTCTGCAAGGCCGGTCGTCGGCCTCAGCCGCACGACACGCCCCTCCAGGCTGCCCGCCCCCTCCAGGACACTAGCAGCCCAGGGGAGCAAGGTGGCGCCCCCGACGCTGGCGCCCCCTGAGAGGACACCGTGCTGCTGACCCCCCTCTTTAGTTGTTCCCAAGGGGGTCTTCTCTGTGACAGCCAGCTCCCCGCCCTCACCCCCTCCGAGTTCTTGCTCCCCGCCCCCTGCCCCTCTGCCCGCTGCCCTCCACGTTGGCACGGTGCCGTCCCTCACCACGTCCCCGGGCTCCATCTGTCCCTAGGCGTCCGGCTGATGGGGCTTCCGTGAGCGCGGCGAGCTGCGGGAGCCCTGGTGGCAGCCTCCCAGAGTGGCGACCCCTTCGCCTGCCGCAGCCGCCCCTCTGGCTGCTGGGAAGGAGCGTCCTCTCCCCGGGAGCGGGGGGCCTGGCTCCGGACCTCGCCGGCTGCACAAATCTTCCTGGAACCACATATTTTTAAAGCGATGGTAAGAGTTCACATTCTGAGTTCTCCACCCACCCAAAAGGGAGGGCGTGGGGTCGAAAGGAAGTGTATGCATTCGTGGGTGTGTGCATGCACATGTGTGTGCGTGCGTGTGCACGTGCAGGTCGGCCGGCTGTGAACGGAGGAGGGGAGGGAGGAGGCCTGGCGGCGGGGGGGGGGGTGCCCGTGGCCACACTGCAGCTCTAACCGAGCCCCTGCCCTCCCCGGGCGGCCTCCTCTGACCCGAGGATGTCTGCAAATACCCTGTTCCCAGATGAGGTCCCCGCATGGGTTCTGGGTGTTGGGACGTCGACATTTCTTTGGTGGGGGCACGATTTAACTCACGCCGAGGGGATTATAGCTCTGGCCATCGGGGTTCAGCCTTGCTGGGACCCTCGGAGAGCTCTTGTGGGACCCGCCTCAGTGCTGCGCCCCCCACCAGAGCTGGGGTGTGAATCCACTCCCTTCCATAGGGGGTGTGCATCGGCGTGGAGGTGGCTGGGACCTCTTGCAGGACACAGTCCTTCCTCACTTTGGGGGGCAGGCAGCATGTTGAGAGCTCGGCTTCAGCCCAGGGGGGCAGTCGCACCCCAGCAACTGGTGAACGGTCCACATGGGGGCTCCCTGCTTCTGGTTACCAGCTCCCTCTTCCCGCCCTCGCTGGTTGAGGCTTCCCTGGGCCTGCTGGCTGCGGGCCCTCGGTCTGCCCTGGGTGGGCAGGCGCGCCTCCCCAGCAGAGGACACCTCGGGAGGGCGCCTCACAGGTGACCCCTGGGTCTGGCTGAGCACCAGGAGCACCGGCCTCAGGCCTCAGAGGGTCCAGCTGGGGTCGCCCGGGTCCAACCTTTGGCTTCTCCATGACCCTCCCTCTCATCCTCCTGAGGCCTGGTTCGTCCACGGAGTCAGCAGCGACTGTCACTCGGCTGAGCCCGAGCCGGGCTGACAGGTGTGGCCACAGGGCAGACGGCGTCATTACGAGAGAGACGTGATTTACAGCAGCGGCGGCCGGGCTGCTGCCGGCAGGACGCCGACGGGACGAGGGGCCCGTGTCTCACTGAGATGCTGTGCCCGAGTCCGTGCGGCCGAGACGCACCAGCCCCCCCCCCCCCCCCCGTCCCCTGCGCGTGGAAAGGTGGAGATAAATCAGCCTGTACTGCATGCAGGGTGGCAGAGAGTTAATTAAGAACAGGAAAAGTGCATTTCAACTCATGGAGAAGCCAAATGAGTGAGCAAAGGGCACCCTGGCCCCATCGGGGTTGTCCACAGCCCCCTGAAGGACACGAGGACTGGGGAGTGTCACCTCGGAGGGGCCGGGTGGGTGTGGGAGGGGGGCTGCCACCCCCAGGTGCGGAGCCCACCCCGCCCTCCTGGCTCGCAGGGCCCTGACCGGCCACCAGGTGGCGCTAACGCTGGAGCTGAGTGTGGCCTGGAGGGAGGTCAGGGGCTGTGGAGAGGAGGGGACAGTGATCCGGTGGTGGTGACTGGGGACTTCTGGGGGAGGGACCTGTCCTGAAGGAACAGGGACCCTCACCCCTCACCCCAGGGTCTCAAGGCTTCGTTTCCAGTCCGCCTCTGCCCCCGCTGAGTTTCAAGGTGTGGGAGCCAGCCAGGCAGCGGGGAGCACGGGGAGGGAGCGTGACTGAGTGCACGCGTGTGCACACGCATGTGTGTGCAGGGGCGGAGCCGATCCAGCTGGCCCGGGAAGTAGAGAGCAGACAGAGGGGTGGGTTTGGTCCCAAGGGCACCGGGATGCCTGGGTGGTGTGTGTGCTGGACAGGGACCAGGCCCCACCTGCGTGTGCTAGAAAGTTCCCTCAGGCTGCAGAGAGGCGTGCAGGGCTGGGGGGGGGGCTTCTCGCAGAGACCCCGGCTGTGTGTAGTGTGAGGCGATGGGGCCTGGGCGGGGGGGGTGACGAAGGAGAGAGAGGCGCTGTGCGTGCCCCCACCTTCCCCCACCCCCGTCCCCAGGGCTGGCCCCTGAGCGGCCCTGCTCTGCGGTGGGCTGCCCCTCGGCCCGGGCTGGCCCGGCTCATCCTGGGTGCCTGTCTCTGGCCCCTTCGGAGCCCACGAGCCCCTGGACTGGGGGCAGGAATCAGGCCTGGACGTGGCAGCCCCCAGGGGTGCGAAAGAGCCTTTGACCAGCGCTGGCTCGAAGGATGGGCAACAGGGAAGCAGCCAGGGGCCGGGCTTTGCTCTGGACCCTGGACCTCCCATGCAGGCTGGGAACGGTGGCCAGCCCCCTTCCCGGAGGCCGTGGGCAGGAGCAGAGGCGGGTGAGGACTAGGGACCCACAGTGTTTGTGAAGAAGGCGCAGACGCTGCCCCATGGCTGCACCTTGAACAAGTCCCTGTTCCTCCCAGGCTCCCCCTGCGCTCTGGCCAGCCCCCGCCCCCTCCCCTCCACAGCCCCAGAGTCAGCATTCCCCTCCCCTCAGGGTGGACAAAGAGGTCAGAGGTCGGGGAGCCCGGCTGGGCACCCCAGTCCCTGTGGGAGGTGCCCAGGGTCCCAACAGGGTGGGCATGGGGACACCGACTGCTGAGCCCTCCTTGCCTAGGCCAGTGTGAATGAACGTCTGATATCCAGAGGGGGTGTGCAAACTTCTAGATGCAGCCAGATGCTCCTTGAGAAAGGGTTGTGGTTTTTGTCATTACAGACGGACGCACTGTGTGCTCACCGCGAATCCCGCCACACAAGGGGGGACCCGAGCACACTTCTCCGTCCAGGTTCACAGCCCCGAGCTGAGCCACCCCCACCTTTCCGTGCACACGGGCCTGCATCCCATGTGCACATGCTCCACCACGCATTGCGTGTGCCTGTTCCTGTCAGCGGCTTCCACCTGTCAGCACACCTTGGGCACCTTTGCCTCTGAGGACACACGCAGCTGCCTTGCTCTTCTCCACATGCCCAGGATTCCTTGGGTGCCCGCATGTCTTGGCTCTGTGACCCGTTGGGGCCATGGCAGCGGGCGAGGGTTTCACCAGTGCACCATGAGCTCTGCTGGTAGCAGGCCTGGGCCTCGCTCTGCCGATCTGTGAAATGGGGTTCCAGCACGCCCTCCTTTACGGGTCACAGGGTTATGAGGGGAGCGGTCAGCGGGGCGTTGGCACCCAGGTGGGTCCAGCCCTGGGAGTGGAGTGTGGGCCTGGGCGGGGGGTGCGGGGGGCAGGTGGGGGGTCCTGGGTGCGGAGAGCCACGCGGCCCTCCCCAGGCTGTCGGGGCGTGAGGATTAGATGCAGAATAATGCAGTCCCCGTCAGACCTGCAGCTGTAACTCAGGCCCCAGACGCGGCCAGCGCCATAAATTTGGGCGGAAAGTGCAGCTCCAGCAGTTTGCGAACAAGAGCGGGGGAGGCCGGGTGAGTTACAGCCGCGGAGGAAGCGCCCCGCCTGGCATTGTTAGTCGGAGCCAGGGATTGATTGTGCGCTGGCTTAATGAAATTGAATTTTAATTTATGTCCTAGCCCGCAGTGAGGGTGCGGGTGCCCGGGCAGAGGTGGGCTCAGCCCCAGGACGGGGTCTCCTCTGCGCGGTGGGGGTGGGGCCGCGGCCAAACCCTCCAGGACGCGATGGTGGGCGCCCCAGGGTGGCATCTGCTCCCCGGAGGCTCAAGGTCCTGCCAGCCTGGGGGGAGTTTTGGGCAAGGTCATACCCCTCTGTGCCTGGTCCTCTCATCTGGTCATACCTGCCTGGCTCAGGTGTAAACCCGTAGCAGGCTCAGGGAACGGAGGGTGCCCATGCCGCCCCCTAGTGGGGGCTGGAAGCTCCACCAGGCGCTAGTGCCGGGCGTGGAGATGTTGGGGGAGGGAGGGTTCATCAACCTGGGGTTCTCTGGGAGCCCCCCACTCTCTCAGGTGTCCACGAGGGAGACATGTCCGCCTGCTGCTGCGTGTCTCCGTTTCCACGGAGGCCCTCGAAGGCCTGCTCCGTGTGCTCTCCCTCTGGGCGGGGCGCACTCACACAGGTGCTCCACACGGGGGCGCCGCAGAGTCCGCACTGCCAGGTGCGCAGGGCCTGGTGGCAAATCCTAGCGGCGGGTCCCCTGCGCTCCCTGAGCCTCCGTTCCCTCCTCCTGCGCGGGGAATGACGAGGCACCTTCACCCAGGGTGTTTGGAGGGTTCGGCAGGACGGGTTTCTAAGTGTCCGGCCCACCCGGGGGTGAGGCTGTGAGCGGAGCGTCCCCCACACCACTCAGCTGTCACCAGGCAGGGGGGCGGGGCCGGCTGATCAGGCTGCGGCTGCTGAGTGAGGTGTCAATGCATCGGCTTCAGGTGGAAACGGTTCTCCGCCGTCTGGATCGGGCCGGAAAAGCCATCCGTGTAGCCCGTGTGGCAGCGAGAGTGGGGGTCAGAGGGAACCCCAGACTGCGAGCCGAGGAGCCTTCAGCAACCATTCCCAATCGGGTCCCACCTTCGGGTGTACAGATGGAGACACTCAGGCCCAGAGAGGGACAGGCACTTGTCTGGGGTCACACAGCAAGTGAGCAGGAACGTTGGGGCCAACCCGGGTCACCGGGACGTGGTCCTGGTCATCGGGTCCGTGGGCCCCAAGGAGTGGGGGGGTGGGGGGGGTGGAAAAGATGATGCAGGTTGTCCCTGCCATCGGATAGAGAGGAGGACGAGTGACCCACCGTCCCTTTGTCGTCCAGACCTCAAATTCCACCCTCCCAGTTTCCGGTGCATGGACGGTCCCCTCGGGCACAGAAAAGGATGCCCGTCCTCTGAGCGGCTGCGGCCCGGGGGGCCTGCTGAGCGGGCACAGTGGGACCCCAGACTGAGTCCGACCCCGCCCCAAGGCCCCGAGGACCTCGATCGGCCCCAACGAACCCTGACCCCAATGTCCTCTTGCTTTAAGTCGTCGCCCTCCTTTCAATAGAAACAAGCCGATTATAAAAGGAAACGTCGCACTGCTGTGATTTATGGGGAGGCAGCCCTGCCTGCCCAAAATAGCTGATGACACAAAAATACGCGTCCCCGGTGCCCCTTGTGCTCTTAAACATTGCGACGTCCACTGCGCATGTCTGCGCATGCGCTTCCCACAGCGGGAACGCACGCTGCGACTGGGGCCGGTGGTGGGGTTAGGGTGTTCTCCGCGTGGCACAGGTCCACGCCCACTCCAGACACCTGCTCGGGGCCACGGCTGCGTGAGGGCGCGGCCAGGCTCCCACCCCGTGAATGGGGGCTGGCGATCACGCGTCCCTGCACGGGTGTCTCCTCCACACAGGCCGCCCCGGGCCGGCGGGAAGGAGGCGGGGTTTACCGACAGGACGTTTAGGGTCTGGGACCTCCCGGGTGTGCCAGGCCTCGGAGGGCCCGGGTCACCTGGGCGGAAGACGCCAAGGAGAGCCTGCCCGTCGGCTCCGTGGTGTTTCGCAGAGGGGGAATGAACAGCACAATGGTCCAGCAAGCGGGTGCACGGCGCCTGTGCCTCGTGGCGGCAGGGCGAGACTGTGTCCCCGCAGTCCAGGGAACGCTAATCCTGGGAGAGTTCCGTCACACGTGTACACACATCCACACACACACACACACTCATACACAGGTATACCCAAACACTTGCACATGCATCTCATCAAAACACACGTTCGTACACATGCCCACAAACGTGTGCCCATGCACACGCCCATACGCAGGGCACACCCACACAACACACACACACACACTCCCACACCCACTTACACCCGGGCACGGCGTAGTGGGGCCCTTCTCGCCACTAGAGGGCGCTAGAAGCCTTTCAGATTCCAGACTCAGTCGCGGAATCCAATGCTCGTGCGCGCATGGGTGCGGGCGCGCGCTCAGAGTCCAGAGACGAGAAAGGAAGGCAAAGTAAAGCAAAACCCTTGACAAACACAGCAGTTGATGGTAATCGAAGCCGACGACGGCTGTAAATCCTGGAGGCTGATAATAATGAAGTGTGAACGGCCGTCGCCATTTAACAGAGACATTTTGTGCCCCCGCCCCCACCCACCCACCTCCCGACCCCTCGGCTGAGGCTGCACGGAGGGTTTCCAGACACGCGTGCCTGCTGAGTCGGTTCCTCTCCAGATGACGGGCATCGGACACGCCTCCCTCCCTTCACCCCTCCTAACACCTTTCCACACCACTGACAGCCGCAGGGGTGGGGAAAGAGACCCCATTTCCAATGGCCACGCCCGGGGCCTGAACCGGCCGTGCTGCCGCCCAGCGGTGACCCGAAGCGCTGCAGGAAGCTGGTCCTACAAACGTCGCTGTGGGCCCCGGCCAGCAGCACCCCGCCTGCCCTGCGCCCCGCTGATGCCCCGCACCACCGGGGTCCTGCCCGGCCCCACCACGCCCCTCGCCCGGCTCCCGGGGCACTAGGACCGCCGCAGCTGGTCTTGCTTGACTGGCGTTTGCAGCTTACCGTTCCTGGCTCTCGTCTGGCGCGGAGGGCGGCTGTGAGTGTCCGGGAAGCGGTTCACTTGTAGCGTCCAGGGCCTCCAAGGTCAAGGCAAGATGGCCTTTCTCTAGGTGCGCTCTGCGCGAGGACCCCCGCGCTCAGACTGGGAAGGTCTGCACTCCTTACTGTTGCTGTTGAGGGGCCCCGGCCGGGGGTCTGACGCGCTCCGGATGGAAACACCGGCGTCTTCGCGTCTCACCCTGGCGGCAGCCGCAGGTGGCGGAAAGTAGTTCAGGCTCATCACGACTGGGAGAGCACGCGGTTGGCGCCATCGCCAGGTCTTGCTGTGGAGTCTTGTTTAATGCCGCACGAAGAAAGCACGTGAGTGACCAGATGAGGAATTTGCTCTTTAACTGGGTTGATGACTTCCGACGCAAAGACGAGTTCCGAGGCAATCCTGTGTGTTTGACTTGATGTCTTGGGCTGGCCCCAGAGTCTGCGTGTTTTTTTTCCTGGAAAATGAAAGACCCATTTTTTCATGTTCACCGATAATGTCACTGATTTCAAGTATGTCGGCTCTCTCTCCCACGAGGTATAACGTTGATTGTTCTCAATGAATGTCTCAGTTTGGTCGCTGTCGAGTCCAACTGGTCTACCCGACCGGGGAGCACCGTCCAGCGAGAAATCTGCAGCGCGGAACCCCGCACCCCACTCCCGACACGTTCGCTCAGCCACAGCATCTTCTCCAGACGCTGCACAAAACTACTTTTTTTTTGTTTCAATTATGTTTTTACCTTTCTTGAAATAATAAAGCATGATATGCCAAAAACGTGGCATATTTTCTTCCATCTTCAATATTAAAATGACTCCACAAAGATTCAGCAATTTTGATATGTTTCTTAAATGCACGCGGACGTGACAGCTGTCACAATACAATCGAACGAAACTGTGCCGCATGACGTTAGAGACGACTGAGTGCCACCGGAGCCGTCACGTGGAATAAAACAAATGGACTCGTTGGCCCGCCCGACGTGTAGAGACATTGCTTTGAGATGCCCACGGGGTTCTCGGGGGAAGGTGGTGGGAAACACAGCAGGCAGGGGTCCCGATGCCAGTTAGGGGGTGATCCCTCCAGGCAGGCTCCCGGGGGTAGGGGGGGCCAGAGGCAGGAGAGCATGGGGGTCAAGCTGGGCATCGGGGCTGGTGGGGCCCACCCCACGTATGGAGTGGGCTTCGGGGGTGAAATGTTGCACCTGTTTGGTTTGGAAACTTGAATCTGGGTAAATCCAACTGGAGAAGCCGAGGTGCCCGGGCCTCCCGGGCAGCCAGCAGCTGCCGAGCCAGAGATGCAGACTCGGGGCTCCTTGCAGGGGATCATGGGGTCCTCACAGCGACCCCGGGTGGCAGTGGCCCAGGTCTTACTGTCCGACTCTGCAGAGGACCCTCGGGGAGGCCACTCGGATATTGCCACCCCCTGCTGGCACCCCGCATCTCCCAGCCCACAGACGCCCAGGGTCCCCTCGCTCCCCAGCCGTGCCCACCGAGCACAGCGGTCACCAAGGTGCCTGACGCCACCTGGGGCCGGGCCTCGGGCCGGGGACCCAGAAGGCACGAACCGTCTTGTCCTGGAGGAGACCGTGGTCTCCCGTCTGGGTTCCTCTCTCTGCGTCTGTGTCTCGGTTCTTCCCCAGCCCCTCACACACACACGTGCACACGACTTCACCGCCTCATGCACACACACAGTCGGGCCCAGCCGGCCGCGTGGGTGCTGGGAGACACACGGTGCCATTCAGCCCATCACAGCCCAGCCTGACATGTGACAGGAGAGAAGAAATTCCTGCGCTGGGTTCATTTCCAGTCAGCGCGGCGGCTCGGAAACTTTCGGTACCGTTTTAGCCGGGCACCTGGGGTTTCGGGCAGCCCGAACTGAGAAGCCTTGAGCCCTCGGCCCCCTCACTCCCCAAGAGCTAATTTTAGCATCCAAACAAACCAGAAGGCCAAAAATCTCCTTGCTCTCCCCCTCGGCCCTCCCCCAGTCGCCGCCACAAGGGAGCCCCAGACTTCCTGCCGCCGGCCCTGGCCCCCTCGGGCGGCTGTGCCAGGGCTTGGCTGGCACCAGGGGCGGTGGAGGGCATGAGGGAGCCGGGTGAGTGGCTGGGAAGGGACAGGGACAGCCAGGCCGGGCCCCACCTGCATGCAGCCCTGAGGCCTCTCCCACAGACCCCTGCATGCGGGGCCCACCCTCTCCTTGGTCTTCCTGGACTTGGTCTGACCTTGAGCCCTGCCCTCCCCCACCCCCCCAACAGAGCTGGAAGTGAGCTCCGGCTGGCCTGCACCAGACAAGCCCCAGGCAGCTCTGAGGAGTGCCCCGAGGTCCTCCCTTTCCTGGCGGCAAGCCCCCCTCTGAGCCTCGGTTTTCCCCCCTATTAAATGGGGGCTCTGTTTGTCAGTGGCCCAGGTCGGTGCCCAGTTAGGAAATGACAGGTGGCCAAAACTCTGTGTTTTTTGGGGTTGAGGGCCCCGGGAGTGAAGGTGGCAGGCGATCCCTGCCCCGCTCCCCGGAGGTGGCGCTCAGGGGCGCGGGGGAGCACGTAGTGGGGCCCCGACGGAGACAAAGGCTTGTCTGCCACCAGTGGGGCCACAGGGCCCGATGACAGGAGGCCGGCGCCGCTGGGAGGGGAGGGAGGGCAGGGGCTGCCTGGGAGGCCGAAGTGCCCTTGGCCCAGGCCCGCGAGGAGGAGGACTTTGACTCCCCAGGTGGAGACCCGCATGCACCAGCCGTGAGTAAAAGTGGTGTCCAGCTTCGGCGCGTGGTTTTTGTTAATGCATAAACATTCAGTGGAACAGCTGGGTCAGGAGAAAAGTCAGGCGTGAGCCCGGGGAGGGTCAGGGAGGGAGGGCCGGGGCGGGCGCTGCCCTTTCTCTCTCGGAGCTGCAGCTGCGTCCCCACCTGCCCACACGGGCGTCCCTCCCTCCGCTGCCTCTCCGGCATCTCCCCCTTTTCCGAGGGGTCAGCCAGGAGCAGGCCCGGACTCCCAGAGCCGGAGGGCCTGGGGGGGCTCGCAGGCACGGACACACGTGGCTGCCCTCACCCACGACCTCTTCTCTGGGCCCGGCCAGCCCCCGGCCCAGCCGGCCTGGGGGCACAGCTGGCCGCCCCAGGGCGGACGGACGCCTGGCTCAGACTGCTCCAAACAGCCCCCTCTGTGGGACCCTGGGGGGCCACCTGGGGGCTGGGTCACTTGGCTCTGAGCTGCAAGTCATGTGGGCGTGGAAACCAAATATAAATGAGCAACTCGGGTGTGTGTGTGGTGGGGTGGCAGGGTAGAGAGAGAGAGAGAGAGAGAGAGAGAAACCTGACAGGCAGGGAGACTGGGGTGACCGGACCACAGGCCTGCTTTTGGGGGCGGGCGGGTGGGGACGCCCACAGCTGTGCGCCCAGGCCCCACAACTGCTCTCCGGGGGGAGACAGCCCCCATTCACAGCTTTTGCCAGTTCCCAAAGAGTGACCCCCTGCCCCCCGGCTGCAGTCAAGCTGCCCCAAAGGCCACCCAGTGGGAAAGGACACCCGCTGGCTCAGCACACCCGGGGCGCCCTGCTTTCTGGCCACCCTGCCGTCGCTGGGGCTCCCGGCTGCCCGAGAGCTTTCTGGCCCCGTGGGGTCTCAGCCCCCCTGAAGACGCGACCCAAAGCATCCCGAGCCAAGAAACACGGTCCAGAAGCTAAAAATGGAATTCCAAGACCTGTGTTTCTTAAATGTTACGGAGCAAACGCTGAAAAATGCGATCGTTCTCCGCTCTCGGCAGCTGCTCACCTGACAGCTGCGGTCTCCTCTTCTGGAAACTTCCCCCCAGCTCCTACCACAGTTCCTGCCCAAAGGTCCCCGGGTCTGGGAAGGGTAGGGGCCTCCGCAGGGGGCGGGCAGGGGCAGAAGGTCCGGGGTGGAGTCTGTCCGTCACACCGCAGCCCCTCCCTTCTTGGCACGTGGGCTCCCTCGTGCGGGTGCTCTCTCTGCCTCAGGACCTTTGCACACGCTGCTCCCGCTGCTCGAATGCTGCCGCTCCACTTCTTGCACACGTACAGACATTCCCTCGAGGCCCCTGCTCAGGTGTCACCTCCTGGAGGAGACCTTGTCATCTGAACAGGCTCCCCCGTGACAAACGTTGGCCTCCCTAAAGACCAGGCCTGTTTCCTGTTTGAGTGCCAACGGGCACAGCCCCAAGGTGGCATGTGCTTGGTTCTGGCCAATGAGATGTAAGGGAAGGACCCTTGGGGCTGAGATGCTCCACCAGCATAAAGAGGTAGCCCTCCTTCTTCCTTGCTTTGGGCACCAGCCTGTAGAGGATGTGATGCCTGGTGCTGTGGCAGCCATTTGGTACTGAGGAGGCAACCAGACCAAAGACAGAAGCCTGCAGTTCACTTGAACAGTGAGAAGAACTGGCAAGCCAGGCCTTGCTTCCTCCATGGCGCCAAGCAACTGGGATGGAGTGCCAGCTGCCCCTTTTCCACGGAGTATGTGCTTGCCAATTTGCCGCAGTCCCCACATGTCCCTAGTGCCCTACCCTGGCCCACCTCATTTATTCACACTGTTGCTGGCCACCGGGCACCCCCAACGGCAATGCAATGACTCGCTTGCTCACATGTCTACCCCGGCAGGCTGCCAGCGCCCGGAGAAAGGGGCTGGAGCTGATGCACCTCTGGGTGGTGGGGTGGGGCCCAGCCCTGCGCCAGAGTCGTGGCAGGAACCGTGGCGGTGCCGGCCAACAGAACTCCAATCTGTGCCGTCTAGTACAGTGGCCACCAACCAGCTCCACGAGGTTCTCCGACACTTGAGAAAAACCTTTGTGCTACTGAGGAGTTGAATTTTTAGTCTAACTTCATCGGTTAAACGCAATTAGCCACTGTGGCCAGTGGCTACCACACTGAACAGTGCGGTAGAGATTCCCACCCACCTCTCCACAGCGGTGATTCCTAACCAGCGTGCCGCGAGAAGTTCCAACGTGCGACACCGGACTGTGTATGCCGCCGGGGGCGCTGGCCGCTTTCTCCTTAGACGGCGCGAACAGAGAATGAGAGCAGCCAGTGCAACTGACGTCACGGTGAATGAACCCAAACTGTATCTGTGTTTTCGTCAGACCCGCAAAAAATATGTTTTTGGTGTGGCGCCGCATTTCGGTAATCAGTGTGTGTGTGCGTGGGATGCAAGGGGTGGGGGTCGCTGCCCCAGAGCTCCCAGAGCACTTGTGTCCTCAGGGTGGGTTGTCTGGTTGGCGAGGGGGCTCCTGCTCTTCCCACCCGGCCGCCCCGCACTGTGGGAGCAGCAGCCGCACGGCTTAGCCCCCTCCTGCCCCCCAGGGACGCCGGCGGTCCAGCCAGCGGCCCAGCAGGCCAGGCCTCTCCCGCACTGTGGGGTCACTTGCCACCTGTTTGCCCTGAGCGACCACACGGCCACCAGGAAGAGCTCCGCAGTCCGGAGGGGGCCCAGGTGTGTTCAATGAGGCTGCAAATTCTTGGTGACTCACCGACCTTGGGCTGGATTTAGTCCCTCCCACTCGGATCTGAGCTGGTCATCCCGTACGCCTCAGGCTGGGCCCTGGGTCCCCTGGGGACACTCTCTCTCTCTGGGAGCCCGAGTCCCTGAGTGACAAGGCCCCTCGCTGGAGGCCGCCACGCTGGAGGCCACGTGCCAGGCTCGCGCCAGAGCACAGGTGCAACCGACCCCGCCTGCCGCCGAGAACGTCCCAGGGACGGGGGAGGACCCACGTGACGAGAACTGTTGCCCAGCTGAGCCCTGTCTGCACTCCTGAAGCACTGGAGA